GGGGCTGCAACGCATCGTCATTTGGATTACTTTCGGTACTGCTTTTGACATTTTTGCAATAAATAAATGATTGGAATTGCATTTATCTGTCTGTCATGTTTTTCTTATAGGTTTAGAGGTAGGAGTGGGATTAGCGAGTATAATAATATTTTTAATGCTATATTGTTACTAAAATGGTTATTTTCCTGCATATTTCAGTCAATTGCATTTTATATCCTTTTATATTCACCATAAAAGGTAGGTTAAGGTTTGGAGGTAGGTTAAGGGGTCTAAACATCGAAATCGCTTATTGATAAAATGATAAAAACGCATTTTCGCTATAAAATGGGTATATTTAGGTTTGGGGGTAGGTTAAGGGGTCTAAAAATCTAAATAGCTTATTGATAAAATGATAACAAAAAATGCATTGATACGAATATCTTAATGATATAAAAGATACGTAAATATTTTTACGTTTTTTAGCTAAAAATAAGTAGCGATTTGTTCGTTTTAAACGTTGAAATACGTCTAAATTGTACGTTTTAGCATTAATAAAAACGTACAAAAGTGTACGTTTTGTGCTTGTAAATGTTACGTATTAATACCTACGTATAAACATGAGACCAGGCTGTCATATCACCCTAATTTCTCATGCTCACATTAATCAGCGTGAGCACATATTCAAGCGGATCAGAAATTATGAATCTCTAATAAGTATTGAGTGGCAGTCCAGCAGGGGAAGCATACACCCTGCGGAAATACTTCGAATGACTGTCATTGATATTACATTCTTATATGTATAGAAGCCATTAGGAGTGAGAAACGCGTGCTTCTGACGCAGCTGAAATCAACCGCACACTCACACAGCTAATGAAAACATCAACCTTAGAAATAAACAACCGTAACATTGAGATTATGCCGCTGAATACAGCGAACCCCAGTTGAAACGCATACACGAGAATGCTTGTTTCATTTAAACTTGTTCTCATGGCCTTAACTATCGGCATGGCCTCGATTACATGCTCTAGACTACGTGTTGCTCCAGCTGTATGAACACAGATGCGTAAATGCTGCTGCAAATATGCTTAATACAATTAGCAGACCAGGTAATATACACAGCGATATGGATTAAAACAGCATTCACTTATCTTAGATGTGGATTTCAGATGTTCTGAAACACGCTGCAACAGTTGATTTGCGAGCAGCGATGCTTAATTTGCTCCGGAGCAAGCTGAAAAGCTGCTGAATAATACTGAATAGAGCTTATATAGGAATGCCACGATAGGTGTCGTATTCCTATAGGTAGATGTGATCAGCTGAGAATCAGCTGATGCAAGCTTGACTCACGTGACCTGCCAGAACTAACGCTAACGCTTAATTTATTGAACCTAACTAAATGAACAATGAACTGATTTTAACTGAATGACTGTTCACTGTTGTCTTTTTAGAGATGCTTTACAGAAGAATTCAATTCAGTTTGCATCACTGAATCACTATTTTCTTGTTTACAGTGGTGTAATGTAACGAAGTAATAATACTTTGTTACAGTACTTACGTTTTTTTTGTGAGAATCTGTACTTTACTTGAGTTTTTATATTTCTGTAAACTTTCACTTTTACTCCACTACATTTCCTAATTAAAATGTATACATACAGTATATCATCTGCGATAATATGGTAAGTGATGTTTTAATGATGTGCAATCTGACATTATCGAGTGTATATCACAAAAACACACAGAGAGAGTGCATGCATATACAGTACATGATTTAGTCTATTAAAATGCATTTAGAATAATCAAAATTCAAGGCATTCTAAATTGTAGGTGGCAAAAATGCATTTGTATGTCTTTTACATTTATATAATTTAATATAGTTAATCTATATCACACGAAGAGTGCCGTTTTTTCTCCAGATATCAGCATGAATGTAATATTGATTTTATAGAAGTTTAATAAAGTTAGCATTAAGTGCCTTACATTTTAAACACAATATTGCCTGTTTTTGCTCAATTTTGCCAAAAAAAATTGTTCCAAACAAAGATCACTGCACTGTTTTGCATCTCAGAGCAACACACAGGATGGTGTTTCCTTATTGAATGAATCAGCTCTTTGAACTAATTGGTTGAATGAATGATTCAGTGACTCACTCATTAACACAATCAAATGCTTCGTTACTGAATGAATCAGCCATTTGAATGACTGCCACCTGTTTTAAGTTGCGATCACAATCAGACACTCGGATTGTCACATACTGCAGAGCAACTGAGTTTGGATTTTCTTTCAGGTGTTAGAGGACGACAACAAGAACAGCAAGAAGATCAGATGGATTATAAAAACTGATCAAATGCTATGATGAGCCATGAACCATGTCATACCACAATGCTGTAATGCACAGTCAGCTGGACTTGACTTGACATCAGATGTTTGATTACATTAGTGCATGTGGCAGACGTTTCGATCTAAAGCGACTTACACTGCATTAACTGTCTTATCGGTTCATGCATTTCCGGGGAATGAACAGTGAACTCTACAGAAATACTACATTAAATTTAAGTGTAATACTGTCAACCCTGTTAACTATAAACTCTGTTACCTTTCTGGGGGCTTATTTATATCCTACACTCTTAAAAATAAAGGTTATTTGTTTGCATTTATGGTTCCATAAAGAAACTTTAACATCCATGAAATCTTTCTATTGCATAAAAGTTTTTTTTTTTTATATGGCAGAAAGGTTATTTTTTCTGCTTTACATAATCGATTTTTCTTTAAAACCTTGTATAAGATTAGAAAAATGCATATAAACTATCAAGCAAAGCTGTTTCAATGAGCAGCATTTGATCTGATCACTCAGTGTTTGTCTAAAGCAGGGCTGCCCAAACTCGGTCCTGGAGGGCCGGTGTCCTGCAGAGTTTAGCTCCAACTTGCCTCAACACACCTGCCTTCAAGTTTCTAGTATGCCTAGTAAGAGCTTGATTAGCTGGTTCAGGTGTGTTTAATTGGGGTTGGAGCTAAACTCTGTAGGACACCGGCCCTCCAGGACCGAGTTTGGGCACCCCTGGTCTAAAGTGTGTTTGCATGCAGATAATTGACTTTAATATCCGAGTCCATTCAGTCATTTAGTTTTGCACTGTTGTCTTGATCACTGGCAGGAACAATAATATGAATAAACACTGATACTTTAGTTAACTAATCTGAGTTTGTTCTGTGGATATTTATTTTTTCACGCAAAGCATCATATGACTTAAGAAGACTGTTAATTTTCTTATTTCTTATTCTAATCAAATATATATTTTTATGTAATTTTTCTTATTTCTTAAGCTTCACTTTTGACTTCCTGTCACTTGTGTAACTTCCTTTCATTGTGTGCACATCATGGTCACACCTAGACAAAACGAGAACTAGATCTCAGACACACCGGTGCACCCATATGGTAATGGCAACCAAGCACACACACCCAGAACACACACACACACACACACACACACACCAGGAACACACAAACACACACACACAGACACACACACACACACACACACTCATATGTTCATACATGCATCTTAATTGTTGTTATATTTCTCAATATCCATATGGGGTATTTTTTTTACCTCTGACTTCTTTGATTCGATGCCAAGGGCATCCTGTATGTTGTTGCATGAATCAGTGTTGTATAAATATGACCCATCTTACTTAATAAAGTTGAGAATTTTATGGTAGTGCACTAGCTCTCTATGTCTGCTTGATCAATTAATTAATTTCATCAGTATTTTAATCCATCAGGCCAGTGCTGCAGCAATGCATCAGTTCATTTCCATGATGTTTTCACTGCTAGTCATTACTGGACTGCAGGTGAGTGTTGAGTCCACAGGAACACGTTCTGAGCGAAGCATCGACAGAAATTACAGATCAGAGCTGACTGTGCCGAATGGAGGGAGATGGGGGTCGTGGGGTCACAGAGAAATGTGTCCAACTGGAACGTACGCCGCAGGGTTCAGTCTAAAGGTAAGCTGAGAATTGACTTTATAACAGTAGTATGGGGGTGGTTTAAAGTGTAAGCTGGTGACTGAGGGTTGAAGGTTCAAATCCTTAGAAAAAATAAACCCTGGAGTTGCTGTTAGTGATTCAATTCTAGGTGTTTCTAAGGAAACTGCACATGCTCAAGTTTTTGACTGCTTTGCTTAATACTAAAGAAACATGAAGTTATCAATGTTGGGCTCGTTACTCCAAAAATGTAATTTATTACTCGTTATTAGTTACTCCTTTCAAAAGTAATATTATTACTTTACTTTTACTTTCTGGCAACAGTAATTAGTTACATTATTTTCCCTTCACGCCCCACAGAAGTTGTAATTGTGTATCTTCCCCACAAAATTCTTCTAAAATATTACTAACAATATATTTCTGCCTCATCATTTGACCAAAATCTACATTGGATGGCACTCAGAAGTTTTTACAAACACTGATCGATAATGACTTTTAAGTAAAAGTGTTGTATTAATTGTCATGTGTAGCTTGAAGCTATAATTTCTTTGTTACCCATATATGATTATACTTCATGAAGTATTTTATCAAAAGAAATCACACATCTTACACATCTGTGTTCAGATCAGCTTTTCTCCTGACAAAATGCTTCATGTGTCTGTGCGAATCATGAAGATTATGAAAATAAATCTAGGAATTATTGGATTGTTGGATTTCAAATTAGTAGGGTTTGAGGCATCAAAAGTAACTAAGTAACGAGCTGTTTTATGGATGGTAACTGTAATATTATTACTGAAATCTTATTAGTAGTTACACTACTAGTTACTGCAAAAGTAATATTATTATTGTAGCTAGTTACTGCCCAACACTGCTCATTATTATGCTTTATTATATCACCTAATCTTTTTGGAACTGATTGATTGTAGGCCTCATTGATCTGTGCTTATGCACCTCAGTTTTGGAGTGAAAAACAAAAACAAAACGTTATTTGTGGATAATTTTGTCAAAATTTACTCAAACTTAGCTGAGTAGCCACTGAAACCAGTTTTGTGCTACAGGCCTCTGGTCAAATTGCAAGTTCCAAGAGTTTGTTTTGCCTTGTTTTGTTTGTATTGATTGAAATAACATATTTTATCATAATGTTGTCACATCCAAATTTCTTCCAGGTTCATATGCAGTCAAGGGCATTTACTGCTGGGTGACGGCACACACTGGGGCGACTGGGGCGACTGGAGCCAAACATGTCAAGGAAAGGGAATTTGTGGTATCAAGACGCGGATAGAAATGCCGCAAGGACGCGGAGACGACACCGCTCTCAATGACGTGCGCATGTTCTGCTGCAATTAAGGTGAAGCGATCGCAATCAAACACTCGGATCGCAGAGCTGTTTGGAAGATCTCAGTGATCCAGGACCGAGTTTGGGCACCCCTGGTCTAAAGTGTGTTTGCATGCAGATAATTGACTTTAATATCCGAGTCCATTCAGTCATTTAGTTTTGCACTGTTGTCTTGATCACTGGCAGGAACAATAATATGAATAAACACTGATACTTTAGTTAACTAATCTGAGTTTGTTCTGTGGATATTTATTTTTTCACGCAAAGCATCATATGACTTAAGAAGACTGTTAATTTTCTTATTTCTTATTCTAATCAAATATATATTTTTATGTAATTTTTCTTATTTCTTAAGCTTCACTTTTGACTTCCTGTCACTTGTGTAACTTCCTTTCATTGTGTGCACATCATGGTCACACCTAGACAAAACGAGAACTAGATCTCAGACACACTGGTACACATGTATGATAACGGCAACCAAGCACACACACACATATATGCTCGTACACACATCTTAATTGTAGTTATATTTCTTAATATCCATATAGGGTCATGTTTGACCTCTGACTACTTTGATTGGATGTCCAGAACATCCTGTATGTTGTTGTATGTATCTGTGTTGTATAAATATTACCCATTTTCCTTAAGCCTTCTGTGTCTTCTTGATCAATCAATTCATTTCATCAGTATTTGTTGTCACATCCAAATTTCTTCCAGGTTCATATGCAGTCAAGGGCATTTACTGCTGGGTGACGGCACACACTGGGGCGACTGGGGCGACTGGAGCCAAACATGTCAAGGAAAGGGAATTTGTGGTATCAAGACGCGGATAGAAATGCCGCAAGGACGCGGAGACGACACCGCTCTCAATGACGTGCGCATGTTCTGCTGCAATTAAGGTGAAGCGATCGCAATCAAACACTCGGATCGCAGAGCTGTTTGGAAGATCTCAGTGATGTTAGTGCTGGCTTATCTGAGTTTGGCTTTTCTTTCAGGTGTTAGAGGACGACAACAAGAACAGCAAGAAGATCAGATGGATCATAATTGATCAGCATACTGTTACTCCCATGAAATACAACATCAAGTCATTAACACAAAATAAAGCATGTGATCAGGACCTCAACACAAAGCACAAAGCAGCTGTACATCATCTCATTTATTACATGGCAATGCAAAGTGTGTTTTATCAGTTCATGCATTTCAAATCCACAATCTCCGTATACTCGACATTAACTGTAAAGCTGTCAACCCGGTTACCTGTCATTTTTCTGAGGGCTTAATTATATCCTAACATCTATTAAAATATATATTTAGCTTGAAATGACATCTTCGCTGACCTGATATTTCTTTGCATCTCATTCTTTAATTTTTTTTAATTTCTCATGATTGACTAATCAAAAAAAAAATGAAGAAATGCTTTGTGAAGAATAGGCGCATTTCCAATAACTTTAATTCAAATGATTTGAATAAATGATTTCTGTGAACCTATTAAATATCAACATAAAAATTGCATTAAATAAAAATTTCCCAAAAGGTCCAAGCAATGCAATTTGAAAGGAGCTTTTTTATGGAGTGCAAACAGCTGATAAAAACATCACAATAATCCACAAGTAATCCACAGCACTCCAGTCCATCAGTTAACATCTGGAGAAGACAAAAGCTGAAACAAATCCAGCATTAAGACGTTTTTAACTAAAATACATCGAGTCCATAATCCATAATAATGCTTCCTCCGGTGAAAAAGTGATTTGGTCTGAATCAGGAGAGAAATCTGCACAGATCAAGCAGCGTTTAAACAGCTCTAAACAAATATGTGGCTGGATTTTGATGAGAGAGACAACAGCAGATGCACTTTTTCATTGCAGGTCCTGGAGGGCCGGTGTCCTGCAGAGTTTAGCTCCAACTTGCCTCAACACACCTGCCTTCAAGTTTCTAGTATGCCTAGTAAGAGCTTGATTAGCTGGTTCAGGTGTGTTTAATTGGGGTTGGAGCTAAACTCTGTAGGACACCGGCCCTCCAGGACCGAGTTTGGGCACCCCTGGTCTAAAGTGTGTTTGCATGCAGATAATTGACTTTAATATCCGAGTCCATTCAGTCATTTAGTTTTGCACTGTTGTCTTGATCACTGGCAGGAACAATAATATGAATAAACACTGATTCTTTAGTTAACTAATCTGAGTTTGTTCTGTGGATATTTATTTTTTCACGCAAAGCATCATATGACTTAAGAAGACTGTTAATTTTCTTATTTCTTATTCTAATCAAATATATATTTTTATGTAATTTTTCTTATTTCTTAAGCTTCACTTTTGACTTCCTGTCACTTGTGTAACTTCCTTTCATTGTGTGCACATCATGGTCACACCTAGACAAAACGAGAACTAGATCTCAGACACACTGGTACACATGTATGATAACGGCAACCAAGCACACACACACATATATGCTCGTACACACATCTTAATTGTAGTTATATTTCTTAATATCCATATAGGGTCATGTTTGACCTCTGACTACTTTGATTGGATGTCCAGAACATCCTGTATGTTGTTGTATGTATCTGTGTTGTATAAATATTACCCATTTTCCTTAAGCCTTCTGTGTCTTCTTGATCAATCAATTCATTTCATCAGTATTTTAATCGATCAGGCCAGTGCTGTAGCAATGCATCACTTCATTTCCATGATGTTTTCACTGCTAGTCATTATTGGACTGCAGGTGAGCGTTCAGTCCGCAGGAAGACGTCCTGAGCGGAGCGTCAACAGACATTACAGATCGGAGCTGACTGTGCCGAACGGAAGGGGATGGGGGTCGTGGGGTCACAGGGAAATGTGTCCAAGTGGAACGTACGCCGCAGGGTTTAGTCTAAAGGTAAGCTAAGAATTGACTTCATTACAGCTTAATGGTTAAAAGAAGGTTGAAGGTTCAAACTCTGGAGTTGCTGCTAGTAACTAAATTCCAGGTATTTCTAAGGAAACTGCACCTGCTTTGTTTTGTTTTGTTTGTAAGGTGGAAGATCCCATTGGTCATGGGGATGATACTGCGCTCAACGGGATACGCCTTCATTGTGTTCATACGTCTACAGGCTTAGCACACTCATATTACAACTACGTCTCAGTTGGGTCAGATGTAGGCAGGTAATGGGCTCAGTCTAAAGAGTAATAATGTAGCAGGTTTGCGGTTATTAAGAACTGTTATGTTAAGAGTCAGTTTCTTCATAAGCTAGATAAATGAATGTTCTTGAAAATAATGTTTTTTTGTGTTTTTTCTTCAGCTGGGGTCGTTGGACAGATATCAAATGGTGTCCTTTTGGATTCTTGACTGCTTTTCACCTGAGAGTTGAAGTGCCTCAAGGAAATGGTGACGACACAGCCGCAAACAACATCAGGTGAGTATCTGCTTTTGTGCTGAAAATCCTTTAACCTATTTGGTGCTCTTGGTCAAAAATAACCAGTGTTTTACAAATTGCTTGTAAATCACTCATTATCAATGTTGGGCTCGTTACTCCAAAAATGTAATTTATTACTCGTTATTAGTTACTCCTTTCAAAAGTAATATTATTACTTTACTTTTACTTTCTGGCAACAGTAATTAGTTACATTATTTTCCCTTCACGCCCCACAGAAGTTGTAATTGTGTATCTTCCCCACAAAATTCTTCTAAAATATTACTAACAATATATTTCTGCCTCATCATTTGACCAAAATCTACATTGGATGGCACTCAGAAGTTTTTACAAACACTGATCGATAATGACTTTTAAGTAAAAGTGTTGTATTAATTGTCATGTGTAGCTTGAAGCTATAATTTCTTTGTTACCCATATATGATTATACTTCATGAAGTATTTTATCAAAAGAAATCACACATCTTACACATCTGTGTTCAGATCAGCTTTTCTCCTGACAAAATGCTTCATGTGTCTGTGCGAATCATGAAGATTATGAAAATAAATCTAGGAATTATTGGATTGTTGGATTTCAAATTAGTAGGGTTTGAGGCATCAAAAGTAACTAAGTAACGAGCTGTTTTATGGATGGTAACTGTAATATTATTACTGAAATCTTATTAGTAGTTACACTACTAGTTACTGCAAAAGTAATATTATTATTGTAGCTAGTTACTGCCCAACACTGCTCATTATTATGCTTTATTATATCACCTAATCTTTTTGGAACTGATTGATTGTAGGCCTCATTGATCTGTGCTTATGCACCTCAGTTTTGGAGTGAAAAACAAAAACAAAACGTTATTTGTGGATAATTTTGTCAAAATTTACTCAAACTTAGCTGAGTAGCCACTGAAACCAGTTTTGTGCTACAGGCCTCTGGTCAAATTGCAAGTTCCAAGAGTTTGTTTTGCCTTGTTTTGTTTGTATTGATTGAAATAACATATTTTATCATAATGTTGTCACATCCAAATTTCTTCCAGGTTCATATGCAGTCAAGGGCATTTACTGCTGGGTGACGGCACACACTGGGGCGACTGGGGCGACTGGAGCCAAACATGTCAAGGAAAGGGAATTTGTGGTATCAAGACGCGGATAGAAATGCCGCAAGGACGCGGAGACGACACCGCTCTCAATGACGTGCGCATGTTCTGCTGCGATTAAGGTGATGTGAACGCAATCAAACACTCGGATCACAGCTGTTTGGATCTCAGTGATGTTAGTGCTGGCTTATCGGAGTTTGGCTTTTCTTTCAGGTGTTAGAGGAC